CTCAAAATTAGGAATTGAGGATTACAAGATTAGCCCTGACCTCATTGAATAGCAAAGCAGACTCCTAAACATGTGATCTTATGAGTTAATCATTTAAAACTGAGATGAGAAATTCCTTCACTGGATCTTTTTGAATCCTCAATGCCAGAGGGTTGTGGATATTTAGTTGATCATATTTAAGATCGGCTAGATTAATTCACAGAGATCAAAATCTAAGGATAAGGTAACAGCCATGAAAATTGAGCTGAGTGAGAAGATCAATCATGATTGTATTGAAAAGCAAGAAACTTCAAGGGACCATGTGGTCCATCTTTCTTGTATGCTTTTATGTTTACAATGATTTTAACAGCTGAGAATTGTCATCATGAAGGCTAAGCTATTGATCCAGGTTTCTAGAGAGTAAAGAAGGGAGTATAAATGTCCAGTTTCTGAAAGGAATACATTTGATGTCAGTGACAATCAAAACTTGAATGTGATGTATGCAGTAATTAAATAGGATTTAAAACAAATTGAAAAGCTTATTTTATGAGGAGATTAATTGTGATTTTTGTTTTGTTCAGTCACTTAGCGTCCTGATGTATTGGGCAATTAATCAAGGCATCTGTCAAATGTAGCAAAATTGTGGTATTGATTCTATTAACAATGAGCATTTTTGGCTGGGAACTCAATTTTAATTACATCAGATGGGCATCTGTGACAATTTGGTCACCGAATGCAGGGTTAAAACTATTTGGGAAGTGCCCGAAAACACAAGAGAACTGCTTTAGCTTGGTGTGTTGATTACAGTGTATGTGGTTGATTGGCTGCTTGGTTTGGCTATTGTGAACAAATTGGCATAAATTGTATTGCTATTTTAACCAAATTATTCATTGGCACAATTCAGCAAGGTCATCATCAACCTATGGGTCTGTTTATAATATGTTCAGCAGTTTTGTGATGTGGGTAAATGTAGTTTTAATGCTGTTTACATTGTGTTTTCCGTGCTGTATAACAATGTCTCTATGTTCAAATCTAGTTTAAGAGCAAATTTTTAACGCACTATTACTGAGGCAGTGCAATATCTCCAGATTAGTATCTCGCGAGGTCACATCAATCTGGAGCCCATTGCATAAGTCAGAGGTTCTATGGTAGCAAGTTGTAACATTGAAACCTTGTTTTACTAATTAGTTTTGAGTTGCTCACTGACAAGAAATCTTATTTTCAACTCTAATAAATCTGTCTCATGATTGTTAACTTGAGCAGCCAACTGATGCAATGTATAGTTTTCCTCCTGTCAAAAGTAATGAGAAGCATGATATGCTTGGGTTAGAGTTCGTTCTCAACCTTTGTGTCTTGTGACGGGACATATAACAGAATAAGGAGACATTAATTTAAGACTACGATGTGAAGGAATTTCTTCTTCCAGAAGGTAGTGATTGTCTGTAATTCTATATCCCAGAAGGTTATGGAGGCTAAATCACTCAAAGTATTTAAAGAGGAGGTAAATGTTTAAAATATTAAAATATATGAAAAGCTGGAATGGAAGAGGACTTGATATGGGGCAGATTAGCCATGGTCTTATAAAGTGAAAGAGTAGGTTTGAGGGGCTGAATGGCCTACTCCTGATCTTGTATCTTGTATTCTTTCGTATGTTTCATTTTATCTAGTTATTGCATAAAGAAAAAAAATGCTCTTTTAAGAGAAGAAAAATCTGATCCAGGAGTGACAGTTCATATTGGGATTCATGGGAGTATCTTGTATAGAAAGCCCAAAGGCAGGAGTAGGTAGATTCTTGATCACCAAGGGGATGAAAGATTATCGGGGATATGGAGTAATCTAGATTTAAGGTTAAATTCATATCATCATGATCTCACTGCATGATGGAGCGGTCTTGGAGAGCCAACTCTTGTACCTTTGTTTGTGTGTTCATAAAATTGTTACGTTGCCATATCTGTATTCAGGAAAAAGAAAGAACCTAGTTAAAGCAGAAGTAGGTCATTCAGCTCATCACATCTGCTCTTCCACATTCCTGCCCTTTCCCTATAATCCTTGATTCCCTTATTGATTAAAATCTGTCCATCTCAGCCTTGGATACACTTAATAATAACCAAGCCTCGATAGCCCTCTACTGTAAATAATTCCTCAGATTCACTACCCTCTGAGAGAAGAAATTCCTCTTTGTATACCTATAGCAAACCTCCCTACTTTTATACTCCATGCCCTTTGAATTCATTTGCCTTCCCTATAATCTGCTGAATTTAGATGCTAGCTTTTCCTGGTTAATTAATGAGGATGTGCAAATCCCTCTGTTTTGTAGCTTTTCTCCATTTAAATAATATTCATTTCCTCTATTCTTCTTTCCAAAATGCATAACTTCACATTTTCCCACAATATTTTCTATCTGCCAAGATTTTTCACTCACTGTCTTAATCTGGCTATATCCCTTGACTGACTTTAATCCTCACCATTCGCCTGCCCGCTTATTTTTATATTACATTCACTTTCCTCATCTTGATCATTAATATATATTGCAAATAATTGTGGTTTCTGTGGCACTATATTAATTAGTTTGCCATCCTGAAAATGCCCTCCTATTCTAGCTTTGTCTTTTATTAGTTAGCTGATCCACTATTCATGCTAATATATTACTCCCAAAACCAAAGGTTCTTATTGTATTGAATAGCCTAATGAGTGGTGCTTTATCAAACACTTTCTGAAAATCCAATTTTTTTATATCCACTGATTCCCTTTATCTATCCTGCTTATTACCTCGAAGAATTCTAATAAATTTGTCTGGCATAATTTCCCCTTCATGAAGCCATGCTGACTCTGCTTGACCATATTGTGAATTTCTAAATGCACGGCTGTTGCATTCTTTATAATAGCCTCTACCATTTTCTCAAGAACAGACATTAAGCCAACTGGCCTGTCATTGTGTTGTTTTTCTCTGCTTTGTTTTTTTGAATAAAGACATTCCAGTCGTAGTTTTCCAATTGTCTTGGACTATTCCAGAATCTAAAGAGCCTTGGAAGATTACTACCAGTGCATTCACTATCACTGTAGCAGCTTCCTTTAATTTCCTAGGATGGATCCCACAGGTCCAGGGAACTTAAGTCTTTAGTCTCATTAGTTTCCCTTGTACCTCTTGTCTAGTGATGGTGTGTTCTACTGTAAAGATTGATGCAAAATATTTAGTCAACAATTCTGCCATTTTTTTTGGTTCCCTGTTATTATTTCTTTAGCCTCACTTCACTAAGGGGCCTACATTTATTTTGGTTTCTCTCTTTGTGCGTTTAAAGAAGCTGTCACTATCCATCTTGATATTCCTTGAAGTTTCCCTTCAAAGTTTATCTTCTCCCTCTTTTTTTTTGGATGTGTTTTTTATTCGGTTTGTAAACATCCCCAGTCCTCTGTCCTGTCTTTGTCTCACTTATTTTTATTTCAATTTAATGCTATCTTTTACTTCCCTAATAAACCATAGTTGGCTATCTCCTTCCTAGAATCCTCCTTTTTTTGGGATGTACCTTTGATGTGTTGGAATCATTTTCTTAAATATCTGTTGTATTTGAACCATCTTTGCTGCTGAACTCCTTTCCCAGCCCACTGTAGCTAACTCGGCCTCTAATCCTTTGTAATTACCCTTCTGTAATCTTAGGATAGTTTAATTTATCAAATTAAATGATAAATTTAGGCATGTTATTGTCACTGTTTCCTGGGGCTCTTTTACACTGACATCATTAAACCAAGCTTCAGTGCATATCACCAGATATAAAATAGCCTGATCCCTGTTGGATCCACAACACCTTGTTCTGGGAAAATTACCTGAATACCCGCTTTGAATTCTTCCTCATGGCTACCTATGCCAATCCAACTACCTGTTTCAATTTACATGAAGACTAAACTCACCCATGATTAAAGTACTACCTTACTTACATGCTGTTGTTGTCTCCCGATCTCTTTACTGCTGCACCATGTAGCTACTGTTAGGGGGGGCCTATAGACGACTACTACAGTGTCATCTTCCTCTTAATTTCTTGCCTCCACCGATATGGATTCTATGTCTCCTGATCCAAGATTATTTCCTGCTATTGTACTTATTCCATCCTGACCAACAATGCTATCCCACCACCCCTTCCTTCCTTATCTATCCTTTTGCAAAGTCACATGCCAGAGAGGTGATGGCTTGGTAATATTATCGTTAGACTATTTCATCCAGTGACCCAGGTAATGATCTGAGCGCCTGAATCCTGGCATGGTAATTGGTGGAATTTGAATTTAATTAAATTCAGGAATTAAGAGTCTAACCATGACAATGAAACCATTGTCAAATATGGGACAAACCCATCTGGTTCACTCCTTTTGGGATAATAACTGCCTTTCTTTTATGGATAGTAAATGAAGGCCTCATCAATGAAGCTCACATTCCCATGAACAAATAATAACAAGCCCTGAATATTTAGTGCCTTTTAACCATATCTCCCTAATGACTATAAGATCTGTATTAACCTGCATTTATAGCATTGATTGATTTATTTTGTCTTGAGTACTCTGTACAGTCAAGTAAAGAGCTGTTAATCTTGCATTTTTAACCATTCTTCCCACTCTGACCATATTTTATTGTTTTTCTATATTTACGTACTCCGTCCCTTTTTTCTCTCTCTCTCTCTCTCTCTCTCTCACCTACACAATTAGCTCAATGCCCTCGATTAGGAGGAAGGATCTTGGGCAGGAGAAATGTCGGTTTACAAAGTGAGAGGATATAGCAGCCTATGCTGCTACTTGTCTTTAATTACTGTAATTAAAGAACTGTAACTCACTCAATTATAGATTAGAAATTGATGTTCGTTTAGCTTCCACTTTTCAGTGTACATGATATTCTGGTCAAATGCATGTCAATATAATTTCTAGAGACTCAGTGGGATAATAGATTTGCAAATCTGAAATTTTGGATTCTGCTGCATGGCCACTTGTCTGCTCTTCATGATAAGTTGCAATTAACTTTAATTTTTTCCTATATACAGTTTGTATTTCACCTTTAGGGAAAATATCATCAGCATCAACGAACTAATCAGTGCAATGAAGCAGATCCAGAATATCCCACAGCACAAATTACAGAAGATTGCTGAATCCCTGGATGAAAACAAGGATGGAAGAATTGATATCAATGATGTTATAAAAGTGAGTTTGAAATAAATTATAAAATGCAAACTTCTGATACTGTGCTAGACTTCAATAATGTGGCCCTAGCAAACTTTTTTGAGGAAAATGATTTAGTTTTGCAATTTTTTTCCTCTTCCATCTCTTATAAATTCAAGGAAACATTTAACTGAGAAACTATTTAGCAGTCTAAGGTTTTGGAGTAGATCTGTAAGTCGGGTTGTGGGTGTTGAGATTGGTTGGCTCGCCGAGCTGGTTTGTTGTTCCGCAGACATTTCTGCCTAGCATGAGAATTCCTGGAAGCATGGCACTCCACGAAGCTTGCTATTAATAAACACATTGAACTCGACCCCGTATACATTCCACTACGGAGGAAACCCAGAAGTGAGGCAATCCATCGCAACGGATCCCAGAGTTTAAAAACCAGGCGGGAAAACACACTGACGCTTCATCAGAGGCTGCACTGAGGATTTTACCAAGCACGGTAATGAAATGTCTGCAGAACAACAAACTAGCTCAGTGAGCCAACCAACCTCAACACTATTTAGCAGTGTTCAGTAGAGGTCTAATATATACAAAGGTATCACACATCAAACAGTTTCAATTTTTCAGGTACGTAAATTTTTACATTGCTATCCAGTAAGCTAATGTCTGTTAATATCTGACATCAGTTATGACTGCGATGGGCACCAATTGGAGAGGCAATGGCCTGTGGTATTTTCGCTGGACTGTTAATCCAGAGGCCCAGATAATGTTCTAGGGACCCGGGTTTGAATCCCGCCACGCAGATGTTGGAATTTGAATTCAATAAATATCTTGAATTAAGAATCTAATGACGATCATGAATCCGTTGTTGATTGTCGGAAAAACCCATCTGGTTCAATAATCTCCTTTAGAGAAGGAAACTGCCATCCTTATCTGGCCTACACGTGACTCCAGCCCCACAGCAATGTGGTTGACTTGTAACTGCTAACTGGGTAATAAGGATGTGCAATAAATGCTGCCAAGCTAGCGATGCCCTCATCCCGTGAATGAATAAAGGAATCTGGAAACACTGCATCACGTCCAATTCCATGACATCAGGTGCAGAAAAGTAGTGTGCTATGGAAACAGAGTTCACTTGTGGGAGAGAGGATGAGGGAAAGCAATGAACATTAGATAATTGAGCATCACCTCCCCCACTTTCCCTCCTCTTCTCTGCCACACCTCTCTTCCCCCTTCCTCATCTTTTTCTCACTCTGCCCTGTCTTCCACTCCTCACCTTTACCCTTTTGTCCCCAACGCCATCAACAACTTTGCTCTCATCGTGCCATTTTGTGTGAACTCTTCATAATCAAACTTCTTTTACTATCTAACCTCTAAATCTGCCCTGCATTATACACTTTCGCTTTTGGATACCATAAATGCTTATTGTTATGTAAATATTGGATTTTATTCAACAAGTGAAAGTTTCCATGGTCGTCATAGTTTGTTAAACATTTCTGCTGTTTTTTTCCCTCATTATTCTCTATGTAGAAATATTTCTAATGTTTAACTTCTGTGAAAACCTTACAATGTTCATTACATCATACTATATAAAAATTTGCAGTTTCATAAGTGCTATTCGTTGCTTGATTGAAATGCTGTTGTACGAATTCATGAGACAAAATGTACCAATTCTTGAACATAATTTAAAGAGTAAATGTTGACTGTCGAAAGTTTAAAAAATAAAATGTTTGTAGAACCATTGATTTTCTAACTTGTTTTGTGTCTGCAGGTGGTGAAGTTAATTGATAAGGAGGATATAGACATCTCTACCAACCAGGTTGCAGAGATTTTAGAACTGTTGCGCAAGGAAGAGAAGGTTGTCGAACACCAAAAAGCAAAAGAAAAATCAGTGAAGGAACAAGTGGCAGAAGTCCAGAATTAAACAGCTTCATCTAATAAAACACTCATGGTATCAGAATTCATCTAACTTAGTTTGATTTTTGAAATTTATTGTAAATATGCAGAGAGGAATCAGGCAGAATACTGCAGAGGAATTGTAGATTGTCTTGTGCTACAGGAATGGAATAATGTTTTCTGTTATGCCAAGAATCCCACCATTCCAGAAGCTTGGAAGCAATATGAAAGAAATGTTTCCTTGAGAATGCAGTTATGAAAAATGTTATTGTGATGTGAAAAGCTCTAATATTGTTTTTATAAATGAACAAAGCAACAGAAAAACATAGCCTCGGAGGTGATCAGCTGGTTTTCTAAAGTGCTTCCAAGTCAGTTTATGGGAATTGATGTGTTACCATACTACTTTGAAGAAGTATTTGCATTACCACAAATCTATAATCCTGGACCACTTTATCTTCAAATCTTTCAAAATTAGGTTTATTTTCAAATCTTAATCTTGTCGTATCCAGTAAAACTGATTTTCGATAAATTCTAGGAGGTGCGCTATTAAGGAAATTAGATAAATGCACCAAACCAAAGAACATTTTTAGCTCATTTTGGATACGCTAAATTCCTTTTGCATCTGAGTTGCTATTATGGTCCTTAAGGTGTTAAATCTGTCATATAGTGCATCTACTTATTTATAACAGGCATTTTTAATAAATAGTATGGATGTTAGACTACATTGGCATTGTTTACTCCTGCACACCCAGACAGGTTATGTTTTACTCTTGTGTTTGTTTACATATGTGGATCAGGTTTTAGGAATACACTCAGGTATTGCTAAGTTTATTTTTAAGTGGCTAAATTAAAAAGAAAAAGTTTGTCCCATCTTTCAGATTATATCCTTGTATTTATATTGTGATGGTTGCGGCAATCAATATGTTTATCTGTGCAAGATTGTGCTATACTAATGGATAATGATGTAGCTATTGAAATTTGAATGTTAGCTACATGTCCACCATAGAATATTTTAGTATTTTGGTGTTCATTTACCTTGCGATGGAAACAATGGATTCAGTGTGTAAAATGTTTTTTCTTCATAATTGGATCATGTTCAAAATAAACCTACACATGAATAAGATGGGAAAATACGTTAACCTGTGAATTGTACACAATTCTGGTTTCCATTTGATTCCAGATCAAGTGAAGTATATATTGATTCTTAAATATTTTTTCACTACTTGTACCAAACTAATGACAGGTCATTAATTCTATAACCTTTGTGCATAATCTGTGCTGTACTTGCACTGTTGACTTGTAAATGATTTATTTTATGTTTTTGTTTTAGATTTGACATTGATTATTTGACTAAAGCTAATATTAGTCTCACTGATCATAGTGACAAAGTGTATGCATGTTTTGATGGCATTTATCGTGAAAACTGCATATTTTGGTTTGGAATTGTTTTGGATTTTTTCCCCCAAACCTAATTAGGAAAGTTAACTTTTATGGCGTTGCTTTAGTCCTTTTTTATATATTTCTGATTTTTGTTTTTGCATGACCATAGCCCGCTTTCTGATCCTTTACTGAAACTTTCAAATTCAGATTTATTATTCCCCTCTAGTTATTTCTAACTGATTATTTTAATCATCAAACTGATTATTTAAGAATGAGCTGTTTATGGTTCAGATGATTATGCTGTGGAAATAAGATCTGTAAAACTTAATGCTTTTCACATCAGACCGGCTTAATATGTATGGTAACCTCATCAGGCTGGGAAAGGACTCTCCCTAAATTTGTTTCTAACATTGAAAGCAATTGGATTGCGCAGTATGCTGCATCAAGTATTTGCACATTTTGCTGTTTGCAATTTCTGCATCATTCTCAACAGCCGACTAGGTTCACACTTGCAAGATATTCATTAGTTTCCATCAAGTATTTTGTTGCAACACCAAATGTGGAGAAACCTTGGTTTGGAATTTTATTTCCTCCCCAAACCTGTTCTCAAGTCCCTGTACAGCCCTTCCAATTATTGTGTAATAATACCCGGTGGTATACAGAATATATCCTTTTCACTTCTGGCCTGGATTCAAATCAAGCCAGAAATGATGATATGTTTGATAATGATTTAAAGTTGCATTAAATTCATTATCTACCTGGGATTATATGCAAGATATAGCTGGTGCAAAGAATGTAAAATGTCACAGCATTTAAATTACAGTTTGCTGCTCGGTGGTTTGGAGCTGAGTTGGAGAGAGCTTTCCTTTGCATTTGGCTGTATTATACCCAGAGTGGAGCTACTTAATTATGACACTAAGTAAAATGTAATATGTTTTGATGGAGAACGATAGAAAGAAAAATCGAAAGTCACGGACATCTCACCTTCTTTTAAAGAAAAGGCACAAGAAACTAGGCACTCTGAAAATTTGAGAATGATATGATGGACTTCATTTAGTAACTGCAATATAAATAATTTTCTCCTGTAGAGTAAAGTAGAAGTACTAATCAATCTGCACACCTTTATGAAATTTAAAGGGGAAAGTATTAATTTCACAGCCAAAATGATTTTTTTTTTTGCCTGTTGAAAATATCCCATTCTGAGATGATGAATTAAGTGCTAGTTATGGTATAAAATACTGAAATGTTGTATGTTGTAGGCTCTAGATCATTGTCTTAGTAAATACAGGCATTGACCCTGCTGTAATAACTTGTTCCTGCTAAAACATGAATGTGTGCAGAAATGTTGCACTGATCTTTGGAAAATATAAAACATTTTTTTAGAAGTTATATGAAAACAATAGACTGGATTTGGAAGCAGTTAAGTTCAAAGAAATTGGGCATTTGTGTATAAAAATTGGAAAATGAATTAAAGTGCACAAAGATTTAAATCCTTACAAATCTTCCTTTATTTTTCTGACAATTATTCCATTTCTTCTCTTCTCCCCCAGCCCCCACCTTTTTCCCATCCCAACAATTCAATATTTCTTCTCCCAACCACCAAAGATTTCTCTGCCGATTGGCCAGAAACTAGCAACGATTTTATGGTTGAGTTTTTAAGAAAGTAACCAAGAAGGTTGAGGCCAGCGTGGTTATATTGTTTATTTGGACTTTAGTAAAGCCTTTGACAAATTTCTGCATGGTAGACTAATTAGTAAAGTTAGAGCACATGGAATTCAAGGTAGGTTGCAAATTGGATACAAAATTGGCTTAATGGCAGGAGAGAGTGGTGATGGAGTGTTGTGTTTTTTAGGCAGGAGGCCTGTTACCAACAGTGTTCTGCAGGGATCAGTACTGGGTCCACTTTTGTCTGTCATTTTATATAAATAATTTGGATGAGCATATAGCAGGCATAGTTAGTAAGTTTGTGGATGGCACCACAATTGGTGGTATAGTGGACAGTGAAGAAGGTTTCCAAAATTTGCTGGACTCTGGGGCAGTCCCAGCAGATTGGAAAACAGCAAATGTGACGCCACTGTTTAAAAAGGGAAGTAGACAAAAGATGGGGAATTATAGACCGGTTAGCTTAACCTCTGTAGTGGGGAAGATGCTTGAGTCTATTATCAAGGAAGAAATAACAAGGCATCTTGATAGAAATTGTCCCATTGGGCAGACGCAGCATGGGTTCATGAAGGGCAGGTCATGCTTGACAAATCTTTTGGAATTCTATGAAGACATTACGAGCGAGGTGGACGATGGGGACCCAGTGGATGTGGTGTACCTAGATTTCCAAAAGGCCTTTGACAAGGTGCCACACAAGAGGCTACTGCATAAGATAAGGATGCATGGCATTAAGGGTAAAGTATTAGCATGGATAGAGGATTTTGGTTGACTAACAGGAAGCAAAGAGTGGGGATAAATGAGTGCTATTCTAGCTGGCAGTCAGTGACTAGTGGTGTCCGTCAGGGATCAGTGTTGGGACCGCAATTATTTACAATTTATATAATTGATTTGGAGTTGGGGACCACGTGTAGGGTGTCCAAGTTTGCAGATGACACTAAGATGAGTGGCAGAGCAAAGTGTGCAGAGGACTGTGAAACTTTGCAGAGGAACATAGATACATTGAGTGAGTGGGCAAAGGTCTGGCAGATGGAATACAATGTAAATAAATGTGAAGTCATACATTTTGGTAGGAGTAATAGTGAAAAGGATTATTACTTGAATGGTAAAAAGTTGCAGCATGCTGCTATGCAAAGGGACCTGGGTGTCCTTGTGCATGAATCACAGAAGGTAGGTCTGCAGGTACAACAAGTAATTAGGAAGGCAAATGGAATTTTGCCCTTCATTGCTAAAGGGATTGAAATAAAAAGCAGAGAGGTTATGTTGCAGCTGTACAAGGTGCTGGTGAGGCCACACCTGGAGTACTGTGTGCAGTTTTGGTCTCCTTACTTGAGAAAGGATGTATTGGCACTGGAGGGGGTGCAAAGGAGGTTCACTAGGTTGATTCCAGAGTTGAGGGGGTTGGCTTATGAGGAGAGACTGAGTAGATTGGGATTATATTCATTGGAATTCAGAAGATTGAGGGGGGGATCTTATGGAAACATATAAAATTATGAAGGGAATAGATAAGATAGAAGTAGAGAGGATGTTTCCACTGGCAGGTGAAGCTAGGACAAGAGGGCATAGCCTCAAGATTAGAGGGAGCAGATTTAGGACTGAACTGAAGGAATTTCTTCAGGCAGAGGGTTGTTAATCTATGGAATTCCTTGCCCAGTGAAGTAGTTGACGCTACTTCAGTAAATGTTTTTTTAAAAAAAAAGTAGATTTTTTTTTAACAATAAAGGAATTAAGGGATACGATGAGAACGCGGGTAAGTGGATCTGAGTCCACGAAAGGACCAGCCATGATCTTATTGAATGGCGGAGCAGGCTCGAAGGGCCAGACGGCCTACTCCTGCTCCTAGTTCTTATGTTCTTATGTTATCTAAGAGTATAAAGAGGGTCTTGATCAATTAGGTCAATCAGCTGAGGAGTAGCAGATGGACTTCAATATGAATAAATGCAAGGTATTGCGTTTTGGTAAAGAAAGCAAAGACAGGACTTGTACAATTTAAAAGTGGGGCCTTGGGTATTGTTGTAGCGCAGAGACTCCGAGGGGTTCAGGTACATAATTCTTTGAGGTTTGCGCCACATATAGACAAGGTGGTTAAGAAGGCATTTAGCTCACTTGCCTTCATTGCTCAGACGGAGTATAGGAGTTGGGACATAATATTGTGGTTGTACAGGACATTGGTGAGGCCTTTTCTGGAGGACTGTTTTGGTTGCCCTGTTATAGGAAGGATATTTTTAAGCTGGAGAGGGCTCCGCGAGGATTCTGAGGAAGAATCACTTGACCCAAAATGTTAACTCCAATTCTGTCCACAAATGCTGCCAGACCAGCTGAGCTTTCCCAGCAATTTCTGTTTTTGCCTCAAAAGATTTTGCAGGACGTTGTCGAGAATGGAGAGTTGAGTTATAAGGAGAGGGGTGGATAGGCTGGGATGCTTTTCAGTAAAGTGTAGGATGTTGAGGGGTGACCTTTTATTGAGGTTTATAAAATCATGAGTATAGATAAGGTAAATGGCTAATGTCTTTTCCCTAGGTTGGGGGATTTCAAGACTGGGGGACATATTTTAAGGTGCAGTGAAAGATTTAAATAAAGACATGAGGGGCAAATTTTTTTTTACACAGTTTGTGTGTGGAATAAACTTCCAGAAGTGGTGAATACAGGTACAGTTAAAACATTTTTTAAAACACATGGATAAGTTCATAAATAAGAAATGTTGGGAGGGATATGGGCCAAGCACAGGCAGGTGGGTCTAGTTTAGTTTGAGATTATGATTGGCATGAACTGGTTGGACTTGAGGGTCTGCTTCTGTGCTGTATGGCTGTGATTGTCTCAAAACAATTGTGCCGTGAATGCTGTCTCTCTCTGCTAACCCAATTACCATCATTGAGATAATTGGTGTAGCAACAAGTATTAAATAAAAACAGATAAGCTTCAAGCGATATTACTAGTTCTGGATGATTACGGTATGCATTTAGATCCAGTGGTAGATCAATTCTGATCAGGACACATCACCATTGTTGACATGTGCAATTCAGTCTCTGCTACTCTGCTTTCAAAAGTGCCTCTCTGAAAAAGGTTTCAGTTGGAGATTTGCTTCTGAGTCATTGCATATATACATAATCTCAGATGCAATCTCCCTAACCTTGGAGACATTCTGTCTCTTGAAGATATTCTCTAAGAACGGAGATCAACTGGGCAGTAATGTATTAGAATATTAAGAACATAATGAGGAAGACCGCGACAAAATTTAAAAACAAATGGTATAGGAAAACTGACTTGAATCTGGTCCAGTTCTGAGGAAGGGTCACTGGACCCGAAAAGTTAACTGATTTTTTTTCTTCACAGATGCTGCCAGACCTGCTGAGTTTTTCCAGCAACTTTGTTTTATGTTCCTGATTTATAGCATCTGCAGTTATTTCGGTTTTTATTTGAATCTGGACATGTAAGATACTGCATTTCCATTCGAATCATGTGGCCACTTAATCGTTGGGAAATAGATACATGTCATACGTATGTGGACTATTGCCTTTGAATTGAGTAGCTTGCTCGACCATGTTAGAAACTATTATTAAATAAGTTTTATAGTAGGGGCTTGGATAAAGTCAAGGTAATCAGGCAGAGCTGACATTGTTTTGTGAGAGGGAAATCATGTTTGTCCAACCTGTTGGAGTTCTTTGAGGATAAAGGGGAAGGGGTGAATGTATTGTGTTTATATTTCCCAAAGGCATTTCGGAAGGTGGCACATTAAAGGTCATTGTAGGAAACATAAATATATGGGAACACCACTGCTTATAATCGTTCATCAGCCTGACTTGGAATTATGTTGCTGTTCCTTCAGTGTCATTGGGCCAAAGTCTTGGCACTCGCTCTTTAACAGCAGTGCGAGTCTATCTATAGCACATAGATTGCAACCTTTCAAGAAGGCAGCTTATCACCATCACCTTCTCAAGGGCAAATAGGAACTGGCAATAAATGTTGACCCAGCCAGTGATGCCCCACGTCCCATGTGTAAATAAAAAAAAAAAAAATGCTCGTGGCATAGGAAGTGGCAGTTTGGCATGGAATAATCGTAGGCTGGCTAATAGGAAACAGTAGGAATAATTGGTTCTTTTTCAGATTGGCAAGTTGTAATGATTGGTGCTGGGACCTCAACTGACTACAATACATATACATAAATGACTTAGATGAAGGAATGGAAGGTACTGTTGCCAATTTCGCTGACAACAGAAATGATGGGTAGGAAAGTAAGTTGTGCGGAGGTCATAGGGAAGTTATAAAAGATATACATAGGTAAAATGAGTAGAGAAAGATATGGAAAATGGAGTAAAATTTGGGAAAATACAAAATTGTCCATTTTGGCAGGGGAAATAAAAAGGCATGGTGTTATGAAGTTGGGTAGAGTATTCATGAATGGGAAGGTAGGAAATTAGAATTTGTTGGTAAACAATGATCATGGGGGAAAAAAGAATGCCATGGTCCCTTTAAGAGCTTGTGCTTTATCTGCGCTTGGAAGTTTATAAATGCAGGTGCACAGAGTGACCGAATGGAAATATTTTGTATTTTTTGGGTTCCCCCTCAGCTTTCTCTGCTCTAAAGAAAACTCAAGCTTATCTAGCTTCACTTCTTGCTGAAATTCTGCATCCCAGGCAATGTCCTCGTGAAACGCCTCTGTACCCTATCCAGTGCGATCTATAGTGTGACAACCAGAACTGCGCACAGTACTCCAGCTGTGGCATAATCAAAATTTTGTTCAGCTCCAACATAACCCATCTGCTGTTATAATCGATGCTATGACTGATATAGGCGGTTTGACTTTAGAACTCCCTTCCCAAAAAGGTGGTGG